CTCTCTCTCTCTCTCTCTCTCTCTCGCGTTATCCGCGCGCGACCCAACAACGTTACCGCGAGTCGCCGGCCGCACAGTGCCACACTTTACTTTCTTCCTCCACAATCTCTCGGGTTCCCTTTTTCCGCGTGGGTAAACAGTCAGTCTCGGAAGGCGAGGGGAGGCGAGGTACGCGCGATCGCAACCAGGGGCGAAGAGAAATGCGGGATGCGCGCGTCATTTACCATATTTGGGTCGGTTTCGCCTGGGTCGCGTAGGTCGGCGCGTAGCTCCACGGATAAGTGGGCAACGCCGGCTTCGGTACCTGATACGCGACGTTCTGGTAATAGTAGAACGGATAGACCGGTTTGATGGGCTTGTACAGGAGAGGAGGATTGATTACCGCCGTTTGCAATCCGTAGCCGGGATGCGTGGTCGGTGGGGGATGCGCGTGTGTCGCAGGAGGGAGCACCGGGTGAAGGGGTGTGACGGGGTGGAGGGGCGCGGGGTGAAGGGGAGGGGACGATGAAGGAGTGGTGGAGGAGGTGGGTGGTGCGGGGGTATGCCCGGCGGCGGGTTTGTGGTCCGTTGGTATGGGGAGGCCGAAGTGCGTGGGCGAGGAGGAGGGGGAGGGGGTGTGGATGGGTGTGAGGGGGGAGGCGGGTGCAAGGAACGCGGGTCCGTAGGAGGGGACGAAAGCGGCGGCGGCGGGCAGGAAGGGGACGAGTCCTCCGTAGACTTGGGGGACTTGGGGTAGGGAAGAGTCGAGTTGAGAGGTTCCATCGGGTTTGGCCGGCCGAGGGGGTTGCACGGTGTTGCTGGTTGTTGCGGCGGTGGTGGTGGTTGTCGCCGCGGTGGTGGTCGAGGGCCGAACGGTGGTGGACGGTCCGTAGCTAAGCGGAAACCCCGGACCGATCGTTGTCGTCCCTGGCAAAAAAGGTGATTGATTGAAAGCTGTATTTCCGGAAGCGAAGTTCACGGTGCCCGCCGCGTTTAGACCGTGAATCTTCGTGATTCGCTGCCCGATCGAAGCCAGAAGGTCTTGATTCTGGACGAAGCCCGGCTGATTTTCAGCGTACCTTCCAGCTACGTTTTGCGCCTGGGCCTGGGCCTGGGTGGCGAGCAACTGGCGCTGCAATTGGGCGATCAGCCTATCCTTTTCCAGCGATTGTATCTGTTCTAGGGTCTCTTGGGCGGTGAGGGTTCCAGACGCGTAAGACGGCAACGGTCCTGGGAAGTTTTGCGGGCTTTGAGACGTGGCCTCGAAGCTGGCTTGCAACTGGCTGTTCGGACTTTGCACTTGATTGTGCGCGTGGCCTAGGAATTGGTCGGCGTTCGGCGCGAAATCCTGCTCGTTCGGAGGGGCGCCGTAAAGCTGTTGTATGGCTTGAGCGTTTTGGGAGAGGAAAAGGGCCGCGTCTGATATCTGTCCTTGCGGCTGGCCGACGTCCCCATTTTGAAAATTTGCCAACTGTTGTTGCCCCTGGTGGACGGGCGCGAAGATCTGCGGCGTGGAAGGGCCGGGCAACTTTTGATTGTGGGGTGGCAAGTAATTGGCCGAATGGGCGGCGAACGGTTCGTCGTTTTGACTGGATATTGGATTCGGTTCGACGAAATCGACCTGTCTAATCGGGCTGGGCACCTCCTGCTCGAACGGCCCACCTGGACGGCCATCCAAGTTGCTCGAATGTTGATGTTGCCCGTGGAATTGCAATTTGTCTCGATGCTGTTGACCGTGCAACGAGGTCACCCTCGTCGGGGACGAGTTGTGATAACCTGGAGGACCGTATTTCGTAACGGGTCTATTTATTTGCGCGGGATGTCTATTAACTATGCGCCCTCCGGATTGTCCAACTTGGAAACGAGCTCTCGAGGCTAAAGCGTGGTGGGCCGGTCTCCTGTACGAGTATCCCGAATCCCTCTTTTTCTGAACTTCTTCCCCGTCTTTGGTATCGACGTCGCCCTCGCCCTCGCCGAGATCAACCACCTCCAACTTTGTAATCTCCGGCTTCTCCTCGGCATTCTCCTCGATTTCGGTTTTCGCGGTGACGGATGATGATAATAATAATAAGCTCGTAACCAGTAGACAAGCGAGCTAAAAAAAAAAAATAATAAAAACGAATCGCTTTTCATCTTGCTAGTAGCTCTTGAAACTTGTCAACTCGTAAAATTGCAAAGTTGTTGAGACGCTTCGTTAACGCGGATAGGAAGATTGAATCGCTTAATTTTCGAATCGTGGTACACTTACCAAGAGGAACTTCATGGTTTGTAATCCAATCGCACTGTATCACCGCACTAATCGGGTGTTCCCTGAGCTAACCTAGTAACTGGTCTACAGGTTCCTCGAGGATCATGGAATCAGGGCAGTTGGTTGGGGAAAAAAAAAACTAATTTCCTCAAGGATGGACAGGCTCGCACCGACTAAGACCACGGCCATACCTGCACATGTATAAATACAGTCGGGTCGCGACCATCCACGAATTACAATAGACTTTCTTGCTGGCTTTCATCGATCACACTTGGGCAATGCTGTTACGGATCGATGTTACACATATCGATGTAGAGTATCGTCCTCTCGTGACTCTTCGAATATATTAATCGGTTTCCAAAAATAAATTCAATTCGATAAAAAAAGGAAAAGGAGAGGGAAGTGCGTAAGTTACTCGTATCGATCGTTAACACGAAAGTCTCTGAGAAAGACGCATAGCTTCCGTCCTAGCTTGAGATCGTCGATAAGGATACGAATACAATCGTACCCTTTTTCCCTTCGTCCCCCTCCTTCCTTCGTACTTTCTTAACGTAAATTACTTTTTCTCCTCGACGAAAGAGAAGCAAAGAGAAGCAAACGGAGAACAATTTCCGTCGTTTATGAAAAACGTCTCTGGTTATTAACTGGTTTCGTATTTCGTATTTCGAGCTATACGAAGTTAGGATACCATTCCCATCACGTATTTATCCTCCAAAGCCTTCAAAGTCTTCAGAACCTCAGTGAAAGTGGTTAAACTCATCAAGCCCCGAAGAAGAATACTGAACAAGAGTTCATTTATAGTAATATATTCCTGTTGTGTAATTCCCATTTACACGTAAGTCACGCGTGCTCGAATTCTCTGATGTCGTTTTTCAAATGTCCCCCTGTTCGTTACGCATTTTGACTCGTTAAAAGGATCCTCTGTTACATAATTACACCACCGTGACTTAGGTTGAGAGCGCGTCGAATTGGCGACTCGAACGAAACGCGAGAAATTTTATAAGATTTTTGCCATTTTGCATAATATCGGATCGTTGATCACGTTGCCTGTTCGTGCACACGTTTTATAAAAGCAGAAACAATGGGCCAATAGCCGACACATAGCAGGGCATAGCTTCTATTCCGATGACTTCATGCCAGCCTAAATGATCGAATTACAACGCGAAACTGCATCCGATGATGTCATCGTCGTGTCTCCGCTCACATCGCCATTCAACAGGAAGTCTAATGCGCGACAATGCACCAACGACAACAACGTAAGACCCACGCTCGTATTAAAGATGGAACATTAGATGCATGTTTAATAATCTAATCATGAATAAGATACGTGAAATTTGCATGGTAGATAGACACCCTTAGATAGATACGTGATAAAATACTACCTTTCCTACAAATATTAGTAAATAGTTTTAAGTAGTAAGTTCTTCTTTCTCTTTGGTTTTGTATCGTGGGAAAAAACGTGGACGTTGGACGGGGGAAGTGATATCATTTTGGACAGAAAGAAGTATGAGCTTAATCAATTTCTGTATTTAACATCGTGAGATACAACGGAACGGTGTATTAAGATTTGTTGAAAAAGTTGAGTTGATCTTCGATATATAATAAGTGCGAACAATAATTTGAGCAATTATAAACAATTTATAGAGAAATTTCATCCGGTTGCTATCGTTCTAAATTTACTTAAACTAAAGTAGTAGTCGATTAAACGACTCGGTCGAAAATCCTTCCAATTGCCGTATAATCATTTCCCTAGTCGTGATCACAAAGGTCCCTCGGTGTTATCCCTAATACCCCCTAAAATTAACCCAGATACGTGTAGCTGGGGTATGCGCGGTAGGCGTATGGCAGAGCGTAGCTAATTGGGGCTGCCGGGGCGACGTAAGAAGAGTACGCAATTGGTGCTGGTGCTAATGCTGCCGGTGCAGTGTAGGAAGCTAGTAACAGGCCTCTCTTATCTCTCAATGCCTCTCCTTCCACGGATGGTTCCTGATCGGGTTGGACAGGCTTGGGTGCCTGAGCGAAGGCTACAGCGAAGAGGCCGAAGAGAGCGACAAGCTGGAAATAAATAGCAATGGTCAGCTAGTATTTTTTCTTTTCATTTACACGAGTGCGATCTTGATATGGGAACAAGATGGAATGAAATAGAATGAAGGTGGTAAGTAAGCAAGAAATAATGTAAAATTTTTACCAATTGTCTTATTCGCTTCTTTTAGTGAAAAATTTTTGCATAGGGTAGAGATTTAAGTAGAAAGCGAATTGTTATGAAACGAGTAATAGTAAGGTTGCAATAACAATTGTACAATTAATTGTAAGTATAGAGTTTGGTAAATAATGGTACAATTAGAATATAGGCGAAAGATTCGAGCAAAGATCGAACATTAGCAAGAGATCGTAACGAGTACTTACAACGATGCACTTCATGGTTGATAGGTTTCGTAGATCTTTGGAGATCAGCTCGTGTGTTGAACTGGAGGTGAATGATGCTCTGGCTTTTTGGTGGATACCTTTATATACCTGGCGAGTAGATCCTCCTATGCGCGTCACTGGCCGATCAATGCACGAGGACACGCGTGTGGTGCGTGTAACGATTGCGTGTGTGCGTGAGCTGGTGGATGTTGCACGGGGTTGTTGCACGTCCTATTGCTTTACCGGAGACCATATACGCCTGTGTAAGTACGTGTGCCATCGAAGCTTTCAGGGACGACGGGGTCTGCTAAGCAATCTCGTTCAGGTATTCCTGAAGCAGATCCGTGTATAACCTCCAATGCATGGCACGCGGGTGAAGCAAGGGACCTTGGCAATCGGCCAAATACGAACGAAAGTGTTTTACCTCGTACGACGTTGTAACAAGTTCTCTGAACCTTAATGATCGTAATATATCGTTATTTTTTGATGAAAAACCATGAATTAAACAACGATTTTTCTATAAATATTGAGAATATTAGATGTCTCGATTGGAACGTGTCCGGGTCAGCAAGATATCGGTTGCTTTTATTCATCGATTTCGAGAGAAAATATCTTTCAGAGAGTACTTTCTGGAACATCCGGTTAAAACCAACCGCACCACCTGTGCTATAAAAGAAAAAGCAACTGAATATTTTATGGCGCTTAATCATCGTGACCTTGCGGGTATCAAGGAATGTTCTGGTTACGATTTTGCTCGTATTGTGATAGATCCAATTAATTGGAATTGCTAATTTTTACCATTTCTGCAAGGAATACATATACATTTTGTATGCATGATTGTGGAGTGGAATTTCGCGTGAGTTTATATATAGTGTAGTAAAAAGCTAAATTTCGATCTAAGAATAAGATTAAAAAATATATTTTTCGCGATGATATAAGATGATCGATTATCTTCCATCGTAAACAAATCGATCGAATTTAAAATGGCTACGGTTCTGACGATTTGAATTTAAATTTTTTGGGAAATTTTGGCCATTGCCTAACAATCCTATTCGACGCATGCGTATTGTCTGATTTTCGTCAATTACATACGATTCCATTCGTATTCCGAATTCGTTTAAATTTTCAACAAATAGTTTTTTATTTGGTATTTTTTTTTTTTAATCTGTTTACACTCAAATCTAATGAAAATTAGATAAGAATCCAAATCAGCAAAAAATATCGCGTCCTTACAAGGTCAATTTTCTAATTGTGCTGTTTGGATATATGGACGAACGATGAAATTTAACACTTTCCGATTGAATGAAAAAAATGTTTTGTGTATGTATTTTATCGGTTGACCACAATTTAAAACATCGGTGTAGTGGTCAGAAAAATTGAAATGACCTTCATCACCTCTTACTATTTATCTTTTAAGGAAATCGAAACCTGTATATTTTTTTCGATTTTAATTGGATCAAATGTTATATTTAAAAAAATGATTTTTGTCTACATTCAAAATTAATGTAATTTATTCGATCAGATTAGTGATAATAATTATTCATATATTAATTATGCATATGCATATATTTAATTCGATGCTTTTCATAGTAAAATCGTATTTTATGAATTTTACAAACATGTGTTAATATCTTGCAACTAGTCTGCTTAAATATATGTATCGATATTTTTATAATTATTAAAGAGTTAAAAAACATTGCAATCTATTTTTTAGATTTATCGTATATTTAGATATTGCGCTTATACAAAATAAATTAGAACGTAGTATATTCTTGCCTAATTAATAATCTCAATGTAATTTATTCGTGTTTGCGGCTTCGCTTTCAAATCTTTCTTAGGAACATGATATCTATACACGATATAATATTTTCTAAATTTTAATCTAACGAGTTTTTATTTTATTCATATAAAAGAAGTATAAAAATGGGTAAAAATGAAGATGATAATTAAATTGTTTCAAATTTTATTTATTATTAAAAATCACAACATCATAAATTATACTATATTATTATATTAATAATAATAAAATATATTTTCCATACACATTTTATATGGCAAAATTCTTCTTTATAATCTGGAACAGAAAAATGCATTGTTTAGCACTTATCTTTTTCTATTTTGTGAATAGAAAAACATTTAACTTTCAGATAGAGCTAATGGAAGGTAATCATTGAGTCATTGCAAATGTTTTACATCATTATGATAGAATAATTTAAATATATTTTTTAATAACAATACGTGATCTTTTAAAATGAAATAGTTATTTACCTATGATTGGAGATTTATATTTAATTTTTCGTATTTAAAATATTCAGTTCTTCCTGCAAAAAGATAACAATATTGTTTTTTACTGATATAAAGAATATCAAAATTTTGAAATATTATTTTATTTCTCAGCGGTAGTGACGAAATTCAATATGTATACATATCATGAAAAATCAAACATATTTACAGAAATACATCACTGATTTTGAAAATTCAATATTGACTAATAATCAATTAGTTACATATTTCAAAAAATAAAATTTGTAACGAGAAAAAAAAATTTTTTTTTTTCAAAAATAAACGTAAATTTAATCATATATAAGCGTAATTAAAAAATGCTTACTTGTACCAGTATCCTTCAACTATTATTATAGTTTTAAATCCAGTGTTTAGCTTTCTATAATGAAAAAAAGAAAAAAAAAAGAAGGTAAAATAAAAAGTATAATATTTAAACAATATATTTGAGATTAAAAAAAAATTCAGATAGGAGCGAAAGACATTTTTGATGTATACCTCATTAAAAATCGGTTGAACTATGAATTCATCATAAACTTTTATTCTGAATCAAATTAGCTTCTTAATTTTCTATATTTTATGAATGGATAAAATATAACAAGATCGCAATTTTCGTTAAAAAATTTTTGTAATTCGAGATAAAATTTATGTGTACATGTTCGATGTTTAATTTTTATCTTTTTTAAAAATATATTTACTTGAACGACGAATAAATTTTAAGATCATGTTATATTTTTTTCCAGAAAAAAGAAAAAAATACCTACTAATTAAATAGCTGCAATAATACTTCAATTACTCCGATCCATGGAACCTTTTCTGAAACATCAAATACATATATTTTTATATGAAAAATCTTTTTGTATTTAATACAATTACATATTATTATTATTATTATTTTATCAGATAGGAGCGAAAGACATTTTTTAATATTCTTCACTACGAATCAATTGAACTATGTTTTCATCATTATATGCATCAAAAATAAAAAAAAAAAATAGTAAAAATGATAGTAAGATCGAAAACATTAAGATAATATCGATTGATGGAGCCATTATAGTATACACTGCAGAAAATATAATATACGTATTCATTCAGCCTGTGGTCGTAACTATATATACACATATATATAAACTTAAAGGAGAGCTCAGAGTTCCTTATCTCTCCTAAAACGTCTCAAGTTACGTGTTCTATCTTAAAACATAAATTCCTAACGCCTGACCGATTTTACGATCTTGTAATATTACTTCCGAGTTTTTTTTTTATTTTTTATGAATACGTACCGTTATTACTAGAATTTTGCAAATTTTCCTTGAACAAAAATTCTGGGCACGTCAATTTTTTCTTTGAAGTTTATAGTTCGTCTTTGTACATAATTACACGTTAGTACTTTAAAGCCAACTGATTGAAATAAATTTGACACTTCTTTCTCTGAAAAATAATATGTCCTGAAATAAAATATTAGTGTGATTTTGTACATATTAATTATAATAAAAAAAAAATAAAGAAATCTTACCTGGTACCATCCTGCCTCATATAGAGATTTTCACTGATCTTGTGACCAGGTTTAAATCTCAGTTGAGCCATATCGTATAAACCATAATCTCTAAAAAGTACAATTCCTCCTTTATCGAGAATATTGTATAAATTCTCTACGACTCTGAAATATTACAGATCTTGATAATGGATTGCAAATCATTATTAAAAAAAATTATTCTAAAAAAAAAAATATAAAAAATAACTTACTTCCCAAACTTTTTCGGATGAATAGCCGATAAAACGAATATTAACGTTGCGATGTTCACCGGGCAATCTACCTCCAAAAAACAATTTTCTGTCGTGATATCCGTTTGAAAAATTTTCATCTTCTCTGGATCGTACAACGAATGATTCTGCAAAGAATATAATTATACATATGACACACATGATAGCGTATAATTATATCAATAAGTAAGAAAATATATACCTTCGTTAATTCCACGGCTCTAGAAGAGAGATCGCACGCGAATATCATTTTAAATTTCAATCCATCCTCGATCAAGGGATATACAAAATTTCCAACACCGCAACCGACTTCGAAAAGGATATTTTGTTCATTTTTCATAGTCAAATCCAATAATTCGTTAAACTCTCTGGTAGTCCAATGTCTGTCCTTAAAGAATCTAGTATCGTTTCGTTTGTAAAATAGATCCCAATGTTTTTTCGCGTCCTTTTCCAATTGATTGGCTCGAAATTCGGGAACTAATCGCGAATTTTGCGCTTCCATCTTTACAATTTCTTCTTCGGTAAGTTGCTTCGCCACGTGGCTTGCGTATTCACTCTTTATTGATTCAGCCATTTTCTCGTATTACGTTGTTGTAATGAAAATTTAGCGAATCGCGGAATAAAGCAGGCGAATTAACGACCTTATCGAATATATAAAATTGTTTTATCGTAATTAATCGAAACATTTACGCGAGTACGAAGCAACGATCGTTAAGTATAAACCGAGAACTACGTTACAGACCAACCTCCCACCTTCGAGTTCCAAACGGAAATGGACGAGAGGAACATGCGTAACATGGACGCCGCCCCACCACGGCATGCACTATAGCAATGTAACTAGACTAGTGACATCAGGCTGCCACTGTATACCTATTAAAATCACTATTGATATTTCTATACTAAAATTTAAGCGTACGATAATATTTTAATACGTTCTGTAATCATAGAATAAGGAGAAACGCACGTATCGTACAATCTTCGCTTAAAATTATTTCTGTACGCTCTACATATATTTAATTTTAAATTTATATTTAACATCGTATATTATATTATATGGAGTACAAGTACTGATACCGAGCTATTTAAAATGCAATCACGCGATGTTTCATTTAGATAATACTTTTTAATTAGCATACCATTCAATCTCGGTAATTTAATTTCTTCAGGTTAATTTAATTTTGTAAGACACCGAATGTATCAGTATGAATTCCACGCATGAACTTATTCGATAAATTAATATTCGGCTCCCGTTCAAAACGAATATTTTCTGTCTGCGTACGGCATTGTCACACGATGACACAGTACTGAAAGGGGTTAGTCGTGACTGAAATTTTATTCAATGTTAGTTACTACTTTAGTTAAGATTCGCAATTAATATCTATAAAGTTGAATAATTCGAAAACGAAGATTCGTATTCGCAATCATTATTTACAATTATTTATATGTATGTATGTATGTATGTGTATATATATATATATATATAAATTGTGCAAATTTAATTGTCTATAAATAGCATCAAGCATGATAATAAAACGTTTCGTTAACATTAATATTGCTTACCAAGTATTTAAGTACCAATTGTTAATTTTCATAAAATTAATAATGAATTCTCTAATATTCCGTTGTTTAACTCGATAATTTAGATCTTCCATTATCACGTTTCCCACGTTTGTTTTATCGTATTTATCGTATTATAATTTATAACCAACCTCGTAATTTGCAAAAAGAAACGGGGTCAAAGTGAAATTAATCGATCAAGTAGTATGTAGGTCATTGCGGACTAGAATTTTGTAGAGGGCTTGACGGAAGATACGACGATAGATTAACTGAATGAAATGAAAAACACGTTTCGCAAGTTGCAGTCGTTAGTGTTTCTTCGAATAACGCATTTGGTGGCTTCTACGTCGTCATGGAACTTGCACAATTTAAAAGTGATCGATTCTCTTTTCCTTCTCTCTCTCC